ATATATATATATATTAGCATGATAAATTAAAGAATTTAAAATTAATGAATTTTAAAATTGAGTTTTATCCTGTATATACCAAAATTGTTAGTACGAATCTCAAAGCAATTAGGTGGCTAAGGACAACTGTTGGGACATCAAAGCAATTAGGCGGCTAAGGACTACGGTTGGGAAATCAAAGCAATGAGTCGCGATGATCGAGGGAATGATCGTAGTGACAAGAGTCGAAAGCATCACACTGAACAACAGTCAACCCACTGCTATGAGCGACCACAAGTATACTAGGAATTGCAGGATTCATCACTCTTGAATATGTCAGTTGTCGAGCTAGTCCAGCGGTCGCTCTGGACGTCTGAATGTAATGCATCAATCTGCTAATGATAGTTACATAAAACTTAAATAGCAGCATGAATCTTGTATTAAATTAACGTGTTAACTGCAAAAAGGGTGATTTTCATAATCGTTCTCTTTTTTCGTTAATTAAGAGACATTTTCATGATCGTTCTTCCTTTCTATGATTGTACAAAAAGGTATCCTATAGATAGGAGTCCCAACGATGGATAACGACACTTTTCTCAGTTTCTTCTCTAGAAAGAATTCTTTATTAGCCCTTCTCTCTCCTACTCTTCTTCTCCCGACTCCAACCCTCGGGACGTGTTTTATCTAAAGTAGAATTTATAACTCAATGGATTAAAATTTTTTTTTGATGAAATATTAACATTTCAATCATCATGCATGTGAACATAAAAAATTTAATTTTTACATATGCAATTACATAAAAAACTCCGCGCCATTCATGTAAATGCCGCATCTTAGCTTAAATTGAAAAAGATGTAATTTTGATAAGTTGGAAAAAGTATTACTCTTAAACAAATACCAAATCATAAGAAAAAGTCAGCAAATGTTGAAATTCCCATCCCCATTATATAAATCCCCGCCCCTCCATTAATCCCCTCCATTCAACCCTAGACATGGATACGAGCAACAAAGAGCAGGAAGCCCCCCTCGCCCATCTTTCTCCCCCCATCCATCATCCCATCTCCTTCATCCACGACGAAGAATCCACCCTAAACACTAACCCCCCCCCCCCCCCCCCCCGCCGATGCGTGCTCTGGTGCGGCGGCTGCTGCGGCGCAACCCTCGTCCTCCTCGGCGTCACCATCCTCGTCCTCGCACTCACCGTTTTCAAAATCAAAGATCCCGAACTCACCATGAACAATCTCCGCGTTAACCGGCTCTTCGTCCCCGGAGTCGGCACCATCGAAGACCCGACCCTCTCCGTCAACGCCACCCTCACCGCCGATATTTCCATCAAGAACCCTAATGTCGCCTCATTCAGGTTCGAGAACAGCACCACCGATTTCTTCTACGGCGGGGAGACGGTGGGCGTCGCATACGCGCCGGACGGGAACGTGAGGGCGTATCGGACGGCGAGGATGAACGTGACGGTGGATGTTTTGGCGGATCGGGTGGTGCTGGACACGAACGCGACGGGATCGGTTTTGTTTGACGGGGAGGTGAATATGAGCAGCTATACGGACATTGGGGGGCGGGTGAATGTGATGGGGGTTTACAAACTGAACATGCACATTCTTCTTAATTGCAGTTTTACCTTGCAGGTTTTTAGCAAAAACATTACCAATCAATTGTGCTCTGCGCATGTCCAATGATTTTGAATCTTATTTTTATTTTTGTACATAAGCAAGTTGAATATTGTGATTGTTTTCTAAATTTCAGGGTTTATTTTGTATATTATTATTCTTTTAATTCTTTTTTTGGTTAAATTTCATTAATTTGTTTGGTGTTTTTAACTGAAAAATCAAAATTTATGTCTTAAACACGAAAAACATGCTTGTGTTTAATGAGTCGAACACGAGTTGTTCATGAACAAAAAGTCTTTTCGACAACCTTAAACACATAGCTGTAGGATGTTAAGAGTAAGAGGGAGAATTAAATCATATTATTTATATTAAAAATCATTTAAATACAATTTAATAATTGTTTTAATTAATTACAAATCTTTGTAGTCTTATGATCAATTTAATTATTTCAAGCCAAAATTAGCCGAACACAAGCGAGCAAATCTTGGTTCGTGTTCAACTCATCTATATATCGAGCCCAAAAGAAAAATTGTTCATGTTCACTCATTTGCTTAGCAAACGAATCAAACACGAGCTTCTTAATATACCAAACAAAAATTATTCACAAACAACCGACCGTTTTGGCAGCCCTCGCCTTCTCACAAGTCACAACCCACTTGTTACGGACAAATAGTCTCACATCGGCTAGGTGCAGGGCCGAAAAGCAGTATTTAAGTCCTGGGCTGCCCACCACCCATAAGGGCTCTTTTGGGAGGTGACAAGTGGTATCAGAGCAGATTATTGCCTGCCAAGTGTGTGGACTCTCCATGGTCCAGTGGAACCCTCGGTGGAGCCAATCCGGTGGAGCCGATCCGTGACGAGGGCGTCACGTGATTGGGTGGAGGAGAATGTCACGGACAAATAGTCCCACATTGGCTAGGTGTAGAGCCGAAAAGCAGTATTTAAGTCCTGGGCTGCCCACCACCCATAAGGGCTCTTTTAGGAGGTGACACACTGCTTTAAAAGTTTGAACTGAGCTTTGGGAGTTAAGAGATAGGGTACATAATAAATCACATGGTGCAATAAGTAAATAGCAAAATTCATTGGTTACTTGCTATAAAAAAAGATGAGGTAGGGTGGCCTCATTGCATTAGAGCTGAGAATTTTGAGTTGTAATTGATTTGTTGAAAAGTCATCAATTTCTTTCGTGAAAGTCCCCAAATTAATCTTTCAAATTGGGAAAATAGACCAAAGTTTGGACGAATTGGTCTAAGCTTTGATGAATGCTCATTTAGAATTCTGCAAGTTTACTCTTGACTTTAGCTGGTTCACAATGACTTGACAAATTTATTAATTTATCACAATTTGACTAATTCACCATGAAATGTTAAAAGAATAGTTAATTCGTCAATTTGCATGTATCTTTAAAAATAATTATGAAAAAAATAAGTAGATAATAACTGTTACCAGATAAGAGACAGATACTAGAGCGGAGCGGAGCTCGCGAGCGGAAGCATCTTCCAATTAGAAAAGTGGGTGGGGTGCAGGGGCAGCCCGCGGTATAGTACAGGGTAATTTTATAATTATATATGTGTTGTATTTGTAACCCGAAGAGGATGTATCGCTATCAAGAAATCGAAAGGCCGCTGTCGCTCATTGCTTCTGAGGACATAGGCGTTAAATCCTTGTGTTCTTTATTAATTGTTCTATTGATTCTTGTGTTTCTTTGCCTTAATTTCTCAACAATCACAAATATATATTCTTTTTCACACAAATCTCATTATCTTTAGTCTTTGCTTTGTTGAATTCACTCTTCACTTCAACATTGAGAAAATGAGTTAGAAAAGCATTTTGTATGTACATATATAGGCATGAATATGGCAAGATGACAAATTAGATGAGATAGAAGATGATGATAAAGGCCTTAACATACAAGCAAGTTAGAATAGATAGGATAATTTACATACAAATCTTATAATTATTATATTTAAAATAGGATGATTTTATATTAACTCTTCTAACAGTGTAGCATCTAAATCAAATATATATATATATATATATAATGCATGTTTGAGATATTAAGTTCATCGATTTCAATATAATTTTATTTTTAATCTATTATTTATTTGTAAGAAATGAATTGGAGGTAGTCACTTCATATCTTTTAGAAAACTGAAGAATAGCAGTGTTTATTATGCTTAATGATTTTCAACCGTCGCAAGATTATTATTTACTGTAAGATGACAAGCACCACTCTCATTATGCTTAATCTGCTCGACCCCAACCTTGGATTACTCGATCGCGAAATCTTGATTTTGTAAGCTTGATGTCCGGTGTTCATTTTGGGTCGGCCGACTCTTTAGGTTGTCATGGTATGTCGGCGAGTTTTGTACAAGAAGTCTCAGTTAGCTATCCACAAATAAGATGTCGTCGGCGGACCTTTTGGGTTCACTTGACTATTGTTCGATCACCATTCCCTGTCAGTTTCTTGGATCCAGTGGTTCGTATTATTTTTTTCCAAATTCGGATGGAAAGTTGAAAAACCTAATCCGATCGACTAATGATTTGGTTTGGTCGCCGAAACCCCTAGTCACTCGGACTACCTTTTTTCATGCTATAGTTGGCTCGATCAGCCACCTTTTGTTGTACATCATGTAATCTATTTCTACCTACCTATCGTTTATTCTTATTTAAATCATATTTAAAATAACATGCTTAAATCCTAAAATATGTTGCCAGACTGTTTGTAGAATTTGGTATGATTTAACACAAAATTTAGAAAAATCAAATCCACAACACTTCTTAAATCCTATTTTCAGCCTATAAGATAGATTCAGACTCATCAGATCTATAAAATTAGTATATAGTAGTATATGATCAAATGGGCCCTAACACACCGAAGGTAAGTAGGGAAAACCCGCAGCCTCGACGAACTACTCGACCTGGATGACCGGCCTATTTCGATCGACCAAGCTGACCCTACCGACCCAAAGCCAATCAAACTTAGCCGACCAAGCTAGAAAGCAATCTAACGACAAGCTTCATACACTCAAAATATCATAAATACCCCTATAATGACCGCTAAAAGGCTACTATCCTGATTCCTTCCAATTTTAACATAGATTTGATGTTGGGTGCTCTGCAGATCTCCTTCACCACTTCTCGATGTCCTGATTCATCTCCAAGGGTTTCCACTAAGAAGAATAGGTTTTATATTAATTATACACATATTGTATTATGTCATTTCTACTCTTGTGTTATTTAAAAGTGTGTCTCAACTTATAAACAGGCCTCAAGTTATTCTCATGTATGTGGTGATGAATAATCAAGTAAAGCACTACTTTTCTATTCTTCTGCCTCTTTCCATCATCACCTTCTTCTGTTATTCTCATACCTGCATTAAAGCTATGCAAGGGCAAATATATAACTTCAAATATTATATCCACTCTATTATATGAGATTATTTTATGAATAAAATGGGTCTAAGAGACTAGAAAGACCCCTATCTTATTTTTATTAGTGTGCATTTTTTACGCATAAATTCATCAATTTGATAGTTCAAAAAATTACACGAATAATTGATTTGTAAATATTAATATTTCAGGTGCTCTTTACGCAATTATGCCCAAAAATAAAATAAATAAAATAGAAGAATGAAAATCATGAGAGAAATTATCTCTCATCTTCCCTTCTCTTGGATTCGACTTTAGCCGAGGGAGTGGAAGCGAGAGAAAGCCGGTCGAGTTTTACTAATAGTTTTTCCATAAAGCGATAGAGAAGCGGTGTAAAGAGCTTTTACCGATCAATGCGAAAAGAGAAAGCGTCCAACACACGCTCTAAAAGAAAAGTTAGCTTGGGCCGGCCCTCACGCTATACAGCCCATTACAAACCTTCTAACCGGGCCGACTTCCCCAGCCCCCATAAAGCTTACAAAATATGCTTGAAAAGAATAATTTTTTTAAATTATATCAATGAGTTAATTAAAAATAGCTCTTTTTATAAATTGCTCAAAGAAAAAACTCTTTTTTTTTTTCCTGAAATTTCTTTACCAAAACAAACACAAAATCAAAACCTCCACATGGGAAACTACGCTGAAACCATGCGGTCCGCTTTCTTTTCCTCTAAGCTGCGAGTCAATCCTATTTTATAAAAGATAAAACAAAAAAAGCTGTTCGTCAAAGCTTTACTGTTCCAGTCTTTGTACCTCCCTGCTTTCCTATCAAATGCAACCCAACCTAACAAGTCAAGTCCATGAAATAGAATAATAAAGATCCAATCTTCATTAAATATATTTTTTATCAATCCATTCATAAAGCATAATATATATATATTAGTACAGTAATTATTAAGCACAGGCTTCTAGGCTAGCTGATGAAATCATGAAACTTCTTAAAAAAAACAGTGACAACGTCCCCTGGCCGCCTGAACTGCTGAGATATTTGTCTTCTTCCTCCCTCATCATATCGAGCTCGACTCTCCTCTTCGTCTTCCTCTTTCTCTCCCGCCTTTTGAACCATTCAAAGCAGATGGAACAAATTCGTCAAAGAGAAATTAAAATTATTCTTTCCTGATGGGAAAGAAGAATAAAGTTTAATGGGGGGGGG